TTGACTCACTCCTAGGTTAAAAATAGGCAGTGAGGTTGTGGCGCGTGTTAACTACTTCACTTATTCGGGGAGTTGCGTCAGTCAACGTCAGTGGTTTAATCGCTGACTAAATCTCAGCACGTTTACAGAAGGCTTGTTTGGCATATGCCCACTTGCACTATCTCTGGCGTAACCGTGATATCTGCCTGGCTGTTGACCAAAGGAGGTGTGTACTGCAAAGCAGTCTGCCCCGTCCACCTTTATGACTGTTAGACCTGACCATTGTACGCCTGGCTAGCTGTCTTTGATCATAGGTGCATACCTATCTACCTATCTTTCGTGTCAGGTGGTACAAAAGGGTGAGTAATATTGAGGTTAAGCGCCAAGTGTTAGGTAAAGAAGGAAAGTCAATCGATGACATTGTGAAGCTAGATCGATTGAGTTGGCTAAGAAATGTGATGCACATGTAATACACTCGATAGGGAATATTAGCTGACATTGGATCGATCAGGTTGGAAAAGAGTTAGCTAGTGGTGGTCAAACCAAAATATGGCTTCATCAGTCAATAAAATTCACAACTGTTAGTTTAAGCCGGTCTCGTAGGGAGGTGCAGAATTCCTGGTTGGGGTCCTCGTGATGATAAGAACCAATGGTTGGAGACAGTCAGTGATATAGCTCGAAATTATCCTCAATGGCTGGTGCAGATGCATCGACTCCTTGTGATTTGGCGTATCCATATTCTTTACTCCCGTACACTTCTGTTTATTATCTCTCTTTTGAACCTCTCTTTACTCCCTTCTTTTGCTTTGTATGCTACAAAGAGGGAGTTTGGCACCTCGAACTGCTGCACATCTGTGCAGAGTTCTACGTTGAAACCAGTCAGTGAGACAGTCAGTCAGTCAAACTCATATCTTCACCCATACTGGACTACTTTGATTTCATATCTTGTCAGCAGCCTCTGTAACTCTTGATACCATTCTTTACACAACACCTCTTTTCCATCAAAATGTCAAAGATAACATCCCGTAGGACACTGTCTAGACATACCCATGAACAATTACCAGAATACCTTTCTAAAGAAGAACGCAGCAGAGTCAACAACTCAATTCTACAGTACATTAAAATTTCTGATCACATAAAAAAGGATTTCGCATACACTCTCTTCATGCAGTCAAAGTTTTAGCAATCCATAAAAAAAATGTGAACTTTGTAGTCCAAAACGTTGTATCCAGCCACTTTTACCAAAATGACTTAGTGTTAGTTTTGTCTCCCTGAATAACTGTATAATAAAATCTATGTAGTCATTTTTATTGGCTTTTTTTTTAATTTTTGTAACCCATTTTCAATTTTCTGTTCTCTTGTTCCTCATCAGTTACATCCCAGCCACACTATTCATCAATTAATACATTTTCTGACAGCCCTCATCATTATTTAAAATCATTCATAGTGCATTAAAGTCGTATCGACCACTGACAATTTACAACTGTATACAAGGTCCAATCAATCGACGCTAAAATCTAGAATTCAATACAATTAATTAATGTGACCTATCGCACAAGAAGTGGCTGTCGTTGCCCAAGTGGTCTAGTGGATAACGCTCTGGCGTTGGAAACTATGGCCACTGGTCACGAGCCTCGGTGGGGACATCATCACTCACTAGGGAACGCAGGTACATCCAGATGACTAGTCCCGAATAGGACGAAATGCGCACCCTAGATTCCACTGCTAGTCATCATCCAACAGTTGACTTCTGTATACAAGGTACGTAGATGGCACAGTGGTTAGGATTGTCGCCGACCATGCACATGGTTCGTTGTTCGATCCTCTGCCAATGCTCACCTTATGTCAATGGTCGGCCTGTGAAATTCAGGCTACCGATATTACATGCTGAAAATTCCATACCTCTACGGGGAAATACGGTTGGAATCAAGCTGTAATAAAAAAAATCATCCGCGACAACACTTATGAGTATATAAGTATTTAACAACTTCCAACAGGAAATAAAATTCACCACTAGAAATGAAAAACGAATCTAGAATTCCCTTTCATCATTTAGAACTTACAAGAAGATAGGACAGAATCTTAAGAAGGTCGTTCCAACATACAACCCACCTAGAACGGTCAACTGACAAGTTTTTATAGTTTGGTGTCTGTTGAACAAGAACAAAATTTAAATGGTATCCTTTGCTACTCGGATTTGACGCAGTATCTGTAATCCTGACACCTTATAAGCAGAACTGCAGCTTATGAAAGAATTATTCATCAAAAATGGATACCTACTAGGAATCATTTTGACAAGAATATCAAAATGGCTAAGATATTTTTTTCAAACATTAATCATATTGATGCAATCAGTTCTCGTGTTGTAGAGCTAAACAGGAACATATCCCTGAGAAGTCACGTTCTGTTTGAACTTTCGACTGATGAACGCCGGCAATTCGAGGAATACGTTTCTTGTGTTATCGAAAAACAGTCCCAGTCTGCTAACCTCAAGCATCTTGACAGTCTCAAGCAGGTATTAGCAGAAAAGCGATTCCCGACTGACCCGAATAAATATGTATTTAATTATTCCTCCGTCACTCTTTCTGAAATTCAACTACAAGCCCTATCACTGGGCCCCAAATTCTGCAACAGTTCATCCAAAGTCAACAGACTGCATACTCAAGTGCAATTCGAAAATCTTATTAATCAGACCAACGATCTTACACCCACATCACCTGAGGAATTCCAATACTTTAAATCCACAGTTCTTAATTGCTGTCATCAGTTTACTAGTTCAAAACCTAGCTCGAATAATCTTTGACTAAAGAGCATATAGACCAACTGAAAGAGCTAGAGAAGAATGATGATATTATCATATGCCGTCCAGACAAAGGTGGGGGTGTCGTAGTTATGAATCTCCAAGATTATAATGATAAAATCTCAGCGATCCTTTCTGACCAAACGAAATTCGCCAAACCCGACGGTGAAAAGAACAAGACACATTTAATTGAAAATCAACTGACTGATGTCTTAAAGAATATGAGGAATAAGTCAGCAATATCGTCAGAAATATACGAACGCATCAGACCAGTAGGCTCCATTATACCACGTTTGTATGGACTACCAAAAATACATAAGACAGGATTACCCCTCCGTCCAATCCTCGATATGGCGGGCTCTCATTATCACGGAATCGCTCAATGGCTAGCCGAAATATTGGAACCAGTCAGAAGGCAAGTATCTAAGTTTTCCATTGATGATACGTTTAAATTTATGGATAGTATTAAAGATTTTAATGTCTCAGAAAAAGTCCTGTTCTCATTAGATGTGGCGTCGCTATTTACCAATGTTCCTCTCATGGAAACTGTTAGCTATTTATGTGAGTATATTGATACACATGGTTCAGAAATAGGTTTACCAACAATCCACCTCAAAGAACTTTTATTGAGATGTACGTTGAATGTTCAGTTCACCTTCAACAATGAGATTTATAAAAAAGAAGAAAATTTGAGCAAAGAATATTCTTTTCAATGATTTCCTCTTCTGGCTTTACAAATATATGTATACACATATAAAACATTCTAGAATAATCGTCATTAACAATATTGGTGTTTTTAAATATTATCGATTTGTTAATATCACTAAAATTACAGTTCAAGAAAGACGCTTAAATTATAATAATGTAATAGTAAATATAATATCAAATAAAATTGAAGAAATTTCTACGACAAATTAAGCATCATTAAAACTATGGCGGCCAACATAAATACAGTGTGGGAATCAACTTCTTTCGGACACATGAGCTAGATTTCTTAATGTAGATCACAACAGCCTCAGTAATATGTGACAGACGAACTCTTAAGGTAAAATTAAGATTAGTTGGTAGACGGTATGTGACTACGAAGGCTTTATTAACGTCAATTTTGTGTTCTGTATCTACGGGATGACAATATAATAATAATAATAATAATAATTTAAAAATTTATTTTACTTTATTCCAAAAACAGTACTTATGATACAGAATGGAATTCACAGCATTTTTCACAATATTGCATCTGATTTACTTAAAATATAAATAAAATTAAAAAGTAAAACAAAAGTAACCAGAGGAATTTATCCACGTTTACGATGTAAAATCATAAATATTCGAAGTACGAATTGAGAATATTAAATATAATGATAATAACAGTGATATAGCCAGTGATATATTAAACCGTAGATTAACAAGATCAATTGAAAGAACTTTTAGTGCCGCAAAACTGTATGTCAGTTTCTCAACCAAACCGATATTGACACCGTGCATTGAAGATAGATTGCCCAAAATGGCGACATCAATGGGTGTATATAAATTTAACTGCTCCTGTGGAGCTAGTTATATAGGTCGTACCCAGAGGAATTTATCTCTACGCACTCGTGAACATATTCCTGTTTGGCATGGGAAAAGAACAACCAAATCAATTAATAGTGAAATTCTGTCTCATCTAGTGGATAGCGAACACAGCATCAAAGTAGATGAGTCATTTACAGTTGCGTATCGGGTACCGAACAATCTCCCCAAAGACACACGATTACGCCTCCTAGCCATAGCTGAGGCTTTAGAGATTAATAGAGAAAGACCAGATCTATGTGTACAGAAAAAACTTATTCACTCTCTTTGTCTACCCTGGCCCACTATAAGGTCACCAGGATCATAATTTTTTCGTACTATTATTATCATTATTATTATTTTGTGATATCATGTCTTTATTATCCATTTCTCCACCCAGTTTATTTCACTTCATTGTTACCCTTACTTTGTCAACCTTTATGATTTTATACTAAACCTACCAATTCTGTAGCATTTTATTACAATTTAAAATTTAGCCCCTTTATTTTATCATTAGACATTATCGGTCAGCCCTCATATCCAGTGCCTCATTTTTTAACGTGTCTTTACATGTATTTTGTGGTTATCGCATTTTCTCACCCCAAGGACACTTGTATTCTGCTAACTATAAAACTACACTATATCACCTAATTGTTCATTCACACTTCATCACATTTTTCTGACTAAACACCCTATACACATTTAATTGACTATGCTAACTAATGGACTATCACCTCAACTTACACATGCACCCCAATATAGTTTCTGATATTATTTTCATTTGCCTTTATTGGCTATATGTACTCTATTATTCATGGATTTATAACTGTAGAGCCTGAAGAAGAAGTTATCGAAAACAATTGTTCGCTCAAAATCTTGTTTTGATTTCAATATGGGGATTTTTCATTTACTAATAACAGTGAGTTTGTTTCAAACAGTATTGTCGATTCAGTTTGAAAATTTTTGCATGTTATTATAGAGTATTGAATGTTCCGTTGATGTAGTATAGTGAGGGGAAATACAGGATTAACAGTTCTAACACAGCTGAAACGATGTTAACAATTATGAAAAATAAATAAATAAAAACAAAAATTTGATAAGATTATAAATATAAGAAACACAATGACAATCAAGTTTGTTACTGTAAGGGTGGAAGAAATGGTTTATTTATTAGTGCAAAGAAGGTTAGTTAGTTCATGCCTGACACCATTTTCATCACATAAATTACGTGCTAAATATGGTATAGTGGAATTTTTATACTTAGACGTACGTGCATAAATTCTTCTAAAAAGACTTTTTGTTTTACCTGAGGAGACACAAGGTCGGAGCTGTGGGTAGAGTGGGTGCTCAGAGTCTGACAAAATTCCTTTAGCAAATTTGTTGCATGACATCAAGTGCCTTTCAGTGACAATGTCAACGATATGGCCCAATGGGATACCACTCGTCCTACTGGCAGTCTTCAGAGTTCTACGAAGTATGACATAGTATTTTTAAGCAATCCAGGAAAGAATAAGGGTGAACAGTAAAGAAGAGTGGGTAAAATACGCGAGTTGACAAACTGTAAGAAGAGGGGTTGGGTTATGCCTGAGTGCCTTAACTTCTCAATGTAAAAAGTCAAAGGAAATATTATTCTAGAAATCGCTAAGATATGGGAAGACCAGGACAAGTCAGAAGAAAGAATTAATCCAAGATACTTAACTTCAGACTTGATTTCTATATCAGTATCATCAATTTTGCAAGGGTCATAGGAAAACTATGAACGAACTCTGTCTGTTCCTTACTTAACCACGCACAATGGTGTTCAAAGATCCGACTACAAAAACCCGCAGTTGTACGACCTGTGTAAGTAACTGGCTCTACAGGAGCACTCAGACTGATAGATTCACATAAAAGAGGCAAAATTGGGTAGTTTGATCTTCAACTCCCGAGCATAAAATAGGGTGTAGTTTAGAAGAGACAGTATACTTCAGCATCACTGAATGCTCTTTTTACCGCATAGAAAACAAAAGTTCTGAGGAACGAAACACTACTTCTTCCAAAAGAGGGACTTCACACGAAGCTGGATATCAGAGGATATCTAACCTGAGATATTTTTAGGGGAAGAATTTTATTATCTTTGAGAAAAATATTCTTCGTATCAATGCTGATAGTTGTGTTCTCAAGTCGTCCATTGACCTGCAGAAATCTAAAGGACAAGATCTCACATCTGACCACTTTTGTGTGCAAATTCCTTATTTTTCAGACACTGTTACTACTCATACACTTTGATTTATTCTGTTAATAACGTATAATAATGACTGACCTTAGCTGTCAATTAACATTTTATGTATAAACCGCCGTAGAGAATTGTACATCTTTAAAGTTACGAAGATAGACTAATTTGTGACTCATATGTTCTTAATTACATCAGACGAAAATTTTCTATACTTTGAAGCAATAGCTATTTATTAAAATGAAGTCTGTTAATAAATGGAACACAAAGTGAAAAATGCAGAATATGAAATTTATGTTTTCCTCTCAGCTGATTTCACCACATAATAACGTATGTAAATTAGTTGTAAAAATATATACTACTGTACATTTATTTAGTAGCCTGAAGATAAAGGTAAAAGTAAAGATTGGAAATGATAACAGACTTGTTGGTTTTATTTGGAGTGGTTTTGATTATTTTCCCAAACACAATCTAAATCTAGGGGAAATTTTTGGTTTGCTGAAATTCTACAGACAGTCATCCCTTCTTCAAAAACACCAACTAGCTCCTAATTATTCGAACTGTTTTGGTCAACATTGAGCAAGCATTGTTTTGCAAATACTCTTGCGAATGTTTACTTCAAGAGGTAGAATTAAGCCTTTGTAGATTTCATACAAGAGCAACATCATATAAATGAGAAACATATGATGTTTATTAGAGCTAAACTCTGTAACTGGGCGTATTCCATCCCTATTGTATTGGCTAGTGAAACAGATAACTATCATTAATCTTGCATAAATATTATTAAGTGAAATCTGATTACACTCACTTGTACGTTATATTGTATTTTCAAACATGTAAACTTCTCTTTAACGGGCAGAAAAGTGTCTGTAATTGAAAAAATAATAAACAAACGTTAATTTAAAATAATAAACGCGATAATTCAGTAGTGCCTACTGTAAGTAGTAAGTTTCCTACGAATACTTGTATTCTAACTTTTACCTGCACAATAACACCTGATGTTATTTGTTTCTATATCTCTTTTTTTCATTTACCTGATATATTTATTATATAATGATGGATTGTTGTACTGTTCAACTGTTTCTATCTTGTTTATAATTTCAGCGTGAGTGATCAGGTGACCGAAAAAAATACCATATTTCATACGCCTATGTAGCCAGATTATCGTTAAAAGCATTTTTTATGGTTAGAAATCGTGACTGTTGGAGACAATCTGGTAGGGAGTCGTGACAAATACTTGGTAATGACATTCGAGGGTGGTTGGTAGAAGTTTGAATTCTTGGGCTGGCTACTGAGTCGCCCCTCGATAACTGAGTGGTTAGCGAGCTTAGTTTTGTAACTGGAAGTTCCCAGATTCGAACTCTGTAGGTTGGGTACTGTGGATAAGTCCTAAGCTAAGATAAACACCTATCCAGTACTCTCTGGTGCTTGTGAATGGTTATCTAACTCTAATTGGTGAATGGTGGCAATCAGTGGAATCCAGGATGCGCATTTCGTCCTATTTGGGACTGGCTCGTCATCTGGATGTACCTGCTATCCCCAATGAGTTCTGATGTTCCCACTGAGGCTGGAATCCAGTGCCCATAGTTTCCAAAGTCTAAGCGTTATCCACAAGAGCCAACTCTTGTGCGACGGGTCACATTAATTATTTAATTGAGTTTTAGATTTTCCCGTGGATTGATTGGACATAGTCGAAGCATCTGCACAAGAAGCTGAAATGTCAACCTGAGACCGAACACTTCAGTCCAATCAATCGACGGGAGAATCTAGAATTCAATGAAATGGTTATCTAACGCATTTAAATCCCCAACCAGACTTAGAGGAAAAATCCTAAAATCTGCTTTTAAACTATCAGGGGGAATCATAAAGTGCAGATGCTAAGATTCATACTTCTGACCATTTCACCATTTGAACCTCTTCATCGCAATAAGAGACCACCTTATTTTTCTTGGTCTCATTCACTTCTCCTTCGGCTCACAAAGTCTACATCATTCTGGTCAATTAGTAACAGAGTGCATCAGTGATAACCATGTTTGAAAAATTGAGAACAATCTTACTCAGTCGAGGGAGGGTTTGATAACTAGCTAGTTAAGTGATGAATAAGTGTTTTGGAAGTGATTAGTAAAAAACGAGAGAATAAAAAATTGAAAGTAAGTTGTGAAAATGGACTACACAGAGTAAATGTCAATAAAAAGTCTGGGAATTATGGAATGGAAAAAACAGGTTATAATTAATTATGTTGGATGGTTGGAGGCAAACGGCCACATGAAGCCTTGACTGACTTAGGTTTCGTGTTAGCTGACAATCATCACTCAGTCAGTAAGGCCTATCTGCAGTCATCTTGAAGGAACTCATGTCCATCCTACTGAGATTCGAACCCGCGTCACCCAGTGCTAGTGGGCAGCTTTCCGTGCTGGCGACTGACCTCCTGAAGGACTGTATTGGATACTTTTGATTATAAACTAGTTAGTAACTAGTGTAATGTGTCTCTAGTCCTTCGTTGGGTGCAGACTGACTTCTATCAGTCAGGTTTTGTAATGTGGCCACTATTCTGGGTGGCTTGTCATTACGGCGAATTTGAAGTGTCGATGTTATATGGTTGGAGGCAATCGGCCAAAGGAAGCCTTGGACCACGGCCAAGTGCTAGTTGGCACCTACCAGCATCAACATTTCAAAGTGCACCGCAACGGCAAGCCACCTAGAATGACTGACGGAATTCAGTCTGCACCAAAAAGAAAAGACTAGACACATCACACTAGTTACTGACTAATGTTCAATGAAAGACTATAATTATATTTCAATAGTTTACACAAATTGATAAGTTTTTGGTTCTGGTAATATGTAAAATATACAATTCCAACAGTTGGTGTAATCATAGGCAGTAGTTTTTCTGGAAATATTAGCAAATCACAAAAATAAATAAATAAACGTATCATTGTGTGTAAACTATTGAAGTGTAATTATCATCTCTTTGGACCACATAGAGCTTATTACACAGTTATTCAGAAAAACAAAGACGGGAGAAGCAGAAATTAGCATTAAGTCCACGGTAATCAAAAGGTCGAATTAAACGTGTTGGAATAAAATGTTGAGGTTTTTTCTTCGGCTGAATGAATAAGATATAGTCGAAATCCTTGTGAATGGCTTGGCCATACTTTATAGTTAGTGTTATTTCTACATGACTAGAAGTAAAAATTTTCTCCAGAATTGAGCTGTTGACCTATTATTGTGTTCTCCTTTTGACAAGCATTCTGGTAAATGTTTATGGCTGCGACTAGACATTGTCTTTCTGGTACGGTATCTGTACTTATCTTCACAACAGTAAATGGATTGTTAAATGCATAACAGAGTTGCTTTTAGAATAGCTGGCTAACTAGCTATTATATATGTTTGGCATACATTTAAAGTTAACGTGACATCGTGATTCTATATGAAGACTGTGATTCATCTTAATGTCTGATCTTCAATGGTGGGCAGATCTAAACAAGCAGCTTCTGGTTTATCCACTCGCTACTTCGGTAATAAGGCTATGAAAGGCAGTTGAAAAATGGCGCCAAGATTTGCAGAGCTGTAAGTGGAGAAATTTTTCCCTATACAGCATATTTACTTTTTTGTACATATAAGAGTGTAGAGTTCAACTCAAAAAGCACACAAGGGATATTGAGAAACAAAATTTCAGGTAGACACACCCTGTGAGAATAATAACT